TTACCTTTTTACCTACATCCAGTGTCAAGGAGAACCTTTACCTTTTTACCTACATCCAATAAATGTTCATTCAGTGTCTGTGTCTCCTGAGACCACTCCAGCCTCCCCAACTTTAAATTTGAAAAGTAGTAACAATGATGATTTCTTTCTCAATGAAAACTTCTTTTTTTCAATCCTATAAGGTTCCTGAAGCAACCGTTTTCACATTGGGGGTCCTAATGCCTCTAATGGCTTCTTTTCCTCCAGGGTGCAGTGACCTTTGAGGAGGTGGCTGTCAGTTTCACCCGAGAAGAATGGGCCCTGCTGGATCCGGACCAGAGATCTCTCCACAGGGAAGTCATGGAGGAGAATCGTTTGATTGTGGCCTCTCTTGGTAAGTCTCCCTCTTCCCCTGGTTTATGTTAAGTGCGGTAACAGCAATATCCAAGTTAAAGCAGTGACCCAACTTAGGCCAGCTGTTGTTTTTCGGGGGGAGCGGGCATCCTTGAAGCAGAGTTTAGGAATTCTGGGGGCCTTCCAGCATTGCTGAATGCCAGATCCCATCAGCTCCAGCCAGTCTGGCCATTGGGGAAACATTACTGGGAGATGCACTTCGTCTTTGTCAGACATAAGTTCATCAGCCCCACATAAGGGTGTTCTGGAGTGGTGGAGCTTCAGTTAGTAAAGGGATATTGATCTTCATCACATGACCGTGCAGGTGGTCTTTCAGTGTTCTATGTGGGGCTGCTTACGGAAGGTGTCAGGAATCCTCTGTGGGTCCAAAACAGGGATATTGATCTTCATCACATGACCGTGTAGGTGGTCTTTTCAGCGTTCTATGTGGGGCTGCTTACGGAAAGTGTCAGGAATCCTCAGTGGGTCCAAAATGCGGCAGCCAAATTGCTAACTGAGGCTGGTCACGAGGATACCATATCCCATCTTATTACGGCAGCTCTACTGGCTGCTGATCCATTACTGGAAACCATTCAGAGTGCTGGTTCTAACTTGTAAAGCCCTAAACGGCTTGGCTCCAAGCTATCTCAGGGACTTCATCTTCCTTAATGAGCCTGCCCAGGGGTTAAGATCACTACAAGAGGCCTTTCTTTAGAGTCCCACCACCTTCATAGGTACATTTAGTGAGGACATGGGAGAGGGCCTGCTCTGTCGCTGCACCTAGACTTTGGAACTCCCTCCCACTGGAGGCCAGGCAGGCCCCAACTTTGCTGTCCTTCCATGAACCGGTGAAGACCTTATCTTCAGGCAAGCTTTCCTTCAGTGATTGGCTGCCTGAGTGGGGGTTTTAAATGGATTGTTCTGCCTTTCCTGATTTAAACGTATTTTAATGCTGCTTCTGTTTACCATTTTTGTGATATTTGTTTGATTTTTTTTCGTATTTGTATACTTACGCTTATTAGCTTTAAATACTGTCTTTTAACAATGTAAGCAGCCTTGGGCCCTTCTGAAGGAGAAAGACAGGGTAAAAATATTTTAAATAAATAAAATGAATAAAATAAATGATGGATGATAGGGATGAGCTGAAGCAAGTAGAAAAGAAAGATACAAACTCCTTCGCCATCTAAGGCAGAAGTTCTTGGGAAGAGGACACAGAGCAGGGATTATTAAACAATGTTATACAAAGAGAGAAAGTGATATCTTAAAAATGTGTGTTTTTGTTTATGGTGAGGGGAAAAAAGTTTTTTTTAACACTCTACTCTAGATTGTGGGGAGGACATTTTGGAAGCCATGGAATGTCCTGAAGATCCCGCTGCCATCATCACATCACTTCACAACAATGAGATAGAGGAGCAGTGCTTAACAGGTTTGTGTTCCTTTAAAATGGAGGGGTTGATCCGATGAGGGGAGAGAGGGAACTGAGTCCCCCAAATGGCCTATTCCCCTGTAGAATATAATATTGTCCTCTCCAGGGATTTTTTTTCAATCAAGAGAAGGCCCAAGGATGAGGAATCATATTTAAATGGATAAAAAGAAATCTACTGGAGAATAAAGACAAACAGGTGCAGATTATTTAAATCCAGAAAGAAAAGAAAGCCAAGCCAAGCCACTCTGAAGAGTTGCTGGAACCAGAAGCTTAAACCTAGAAAATCCAAAAATGTCATTCACAGACATGGTCAGAATCCAGCGCTCTCACAAGCAGGAGCCAGAAGGAGTTTATGTCCGAGCGCCTAGCCTTTTCTTGTGTAAGGTTTATGTAGCTGGACTCCATTCATCCAGCATATGGGTTGGAGCCTTTTGGTTGACGGGGTCAGGCGCCATGATTTCCCCAGGAGACAGGTTTTCTCCCAAGGAGATAATCCGTTCCTGAGGAGACCCTTTTCCTTGAATAGCCCTTCCCTGGAGCTATAGGCTTCCTTGGCGAGACTCAAGCTGAGTTTCTACCTTCCACCTGTGCTCCTTGGGTGGGCCGTTGAAGGCCCTATCTTATCCTTTGATTCGGCCACTGGGCCACCATCAGCTAGAGAAGCCCAGAGCATCAGACCATTCAGTTACAGTGGTGCCTCGCTAGACAGTTACCCCACATGACAGTTTTTTCGCTAGACATTGACTTTTTATGGTTGCTATAGTGATTCGCAAAACAGTGATTCCTATGGGGGAATTTCGCTGGTCAATGTTTGGTCCCTGCTTCTCAAACTGATTTTTGCTAGACAACGATTTTGACAGCCCCCTCCGCGCTCGCAAAACAGGTGTTTTCGGAACCTAAGCTTTGCAAGACAGCAATTTAAACAGCTGATCGGCAGTTCGCAAAGCGGCTTTCCTATGGCCGATCTTTGCTAGACAACGACGATTCTTTGCCATTGGAACGCATTAAACAGGTTTCAATGCATTCCAATGGGGAAATGCTTTTCGCTAGACAATCATTTCGCTAAACAGCGATTTGAGTGGAACGGATTATCATAGTCTAGTGAGGCAACACTGTATGTAGGACCAGCAGTTCTTTCCTTACATCAAGCCCTGGCGGGGGGAGGTAAGGTTCATCCTCTTCTGGGAAGGCCAAAATGGAAGTTTTGGACCAAAGGATTTTTGGAGACCACTGGCTAAATGTGACCCAACAGTGTGAGGCAGTGGCAGAATGATGCAATAGCTCTGACTGCTCTGTGTTGGGGCTCTTACGGGCAGGTTTAGTTGGTATCTTATCCATGCAAATGAATCGTGTAAGAGGGCATCATACTGCTTGAATGATCATGGCTCCATCCTAAGAATCCTGGATTTGCAATCAATTCTAGAACAGGGTACGTGGGAGATTTATTTATTTATTTATTTTGTTTATATCCCACCGATCTGGTCGTGTCAGGGCCACTCTAGGCGGCTAACAACATTAAAAGATAATACAAAAAATATACGTATAAAGACAATTTTACATAACAGAAATACTGAACAGAATGGGAAAGCTGAAGGAGAGGGGGAAAAAAAGGGCGTCAGGAATTATCTGATGGGAAGGCCTGCCTAAACATCCATGTTTTTAATTGATTCTTAAAAATACCCAGCGAGGGAGCCACGCGAATCTCAGGAGGTAGGTTGTTCCAGAGCCGAGGAACCACCGCCAAGAAGGCCCGATTTCTTGTCTTCTCCTTCCGGGCCTCCCTCGGCGTTAGGCTCCTCAGCCTCACCTCCTGGCTTGCACGAGTGACATGGGTAGAGCTTGGTGGGAAGGTCCTAAACCGTTTAGGGCTTTGTAAGTAAGCATCAACACTTTGAAGTCGATGCGGAATCGGATGGGCAGCCAATGCAATGCGGCCAGAGTGGGCGAGATATGTTGGTATCTTCTCACTCCACTGAGTAATCTGGCCGCAGCATTCTGCACCACCTGTAGTTTCCGCAGCAGCCTCAAAGGTAGCCCCACGTAGAGCGCATTGCAGTGGTCTAATCTTGAGATTACAAGCGCATGTACCAAAGTGTTGAGAGCCCCCACATCAAGGTAGGGTCACAGCTGGGCTATCCGCCGAAGATGGAAAAATGCGGTGCGGACCATGGACGCCACCTGGGTTTCCATAGTGAGCGCCAGGTCCAGATGAATCCCCAAGCTGCGAACTCCATCCCTGGCAGGCAGGGTCACTCCCCCAAAAGAGAGGGATTTTCCCAAATCCCCAACTGTCGGGGTGCCCACCCTTAGTACCTCCGTCTTGTCCGGGTTCAGCCTCAGCCCGTTCTCCTGCATCTATTCCAGTACGGCCTCCAGGCAGCGCTGGAGGGACAGGACGGCATCACCTGTGGGTTGGTGAAAAGGAGATGTAGAGCTGAGTGTCATCCGTGTACTGATGACACAAAGCTCTGCACCCCCTGATGACCCCACCCAGCGGCCTCATATAGATGTTGAACAGCATACAAAAATGGGAAGGGCGGTATTCATATATGGCATGTGTGCCACAGATTTCCCCTAATGTAGTTTCTCTTTCAGGAGCTAGTTTGTTCGTTTAGACACTTTTTTCCATTCCAGAGGATTTGTTCTCTCGAAGTTGGGGATTCAATCTTTTCTATCTTTGTTTTTCTTCTAGGAGATCAGGAATGTTATATCAGGAGAGAGCTCTACCAATGTGGGGAAAATTTTGATGGAAGGATGGCACTTGAAATTCACGAGAAGGACCACACTGCGAGCATATGTTTCCGAAGTGAAGCATCTGGAAAGGATTTTGATAGCAAACCAGAACTGGCAAGCCACCAGGAAATTGGAAGAGGAGAAAAAGAATACCACCATCAGGAAGACGGAGATTTATTTGCCACGAATTCTGTTCTTCGGGTGCATGACAGTATCCACACAACAGAAGAACTGTGCAAATGCCAGGAGTATAAAAAAGATTTTTTTTTCCGCTCAAGCTTTGGTGAGTATCAAATAATCCAGCCTGAAGACAAACTGTACAAATGCCAGGAATGTGGAAAATCTTTTAATCACATTTCAAACCTTCTGACACATCAACGAGTCCACACTGGAGAGAAACCATACAAATGCCAGGAGTGTGGAAAATGTTTTGCTCACAATTCAACCCTTGTGAAACACTGGAGATTACACACTGGAGAGAAACCATACAAATGCCAGGAGTGTGGAAAATGCTTTACTCAGAATGCAAACCTTCTGACACACCAGAGAGTTCACACTGGAGAGAGACCATACAAATGTAAGGAGTGTGGGAAATGTTTTGCTCGAAATGCAAGCCTTTATGAACACCAAACTGTCCACACAGGAAACACACCATTCAAATGTGAGGCATGTGGAAAATGTTATTCACACAATTCAACCCTTTTAACACACCAGAGAATCCACACTGGAGAGAAACCATACAAATGCCAAGAGTGTGGAAAATGTTTTTCTCACAATTCAACTCTTGTGAAACACTGGAGACTGCATACTGGAGAGAAACCATTCAAGTGCCAGGAGTGTGGGAAAAGTTTTGCTCTGAATTCACAACTTCTAGGGCATCATAGAGTCCACACAGGAGAGAAACCATACAAATGCCAGGAGTGTGGGAAATGCTTTTCTCAGAGTTCTACTCTTTTGCAACATCTGAGACTCCACACTGGTGAGAAACCGTACAAATGTCAAGTGTGTGGGAAACGTTTTGCTCGGAATTCGCACCTTCTGAAACATCACAGAGTCCACACTGGAGAGAAACCATACAAATGCCAGGAATGTGAAAAATGTTTTGCTCGAAACTCACACCTTCGGACACACCAGAGAGTCCACACTGGGGAGAAACCTTATGAATGTCAAGAGTGTGGTAAATCTTTTGCTCGGAAATCCATCCTTCTGACACACCAGCGAGTCCACACTGGAGAGAAACCATACACATGCCAAGAGTGTGGGAAATGTTTTACACGAAATTCACACCTTCTGACGCACCAGAGAGTCCATACAGGAGAGAAACCTTATAAATGCGAGGAGTGTGGGAAATGTTATATTGATAATGTAATTCTTTTGAGACACCAGAGAGTCCACACTGGAGAGAAACCATACAAATGCCAAGAGTGTGGGAAACGTTATTCTCAGAATTCAACCCTTCTAACACACCAGAGAGCCCACAGAGGAGAGAAACCACACAAATGCCAAGAGTGTGGAAAGTCTTATTCTCACAATTCAGCCCTTTTGGCACATCAGAGAGTCCACACTGGAGAGAAACCATACACATGCCAGTTGTGTGGAAAATGTTTTACTCACAGTTCAACCCTTCGGACACACCAGAGAGTCCACACAGGGGAGAAACCTTACAATTGTCAAGAGTGTGGGAAATGTTTTGCTCTGAATTCAACACTTTTGAAACACCTGAGGTTACACACTGGAGAGAAACCATACAAATGTCAAAAATGTGACAGATATTTTTCTCAGAATTCAAGCCTTCGGAAACACCAGAGAGTCCACAAAACAGAGGGCCTATATAATTCCAGTCCAGAGGAGAGTGTTTTATTTCTGAGTAATTTTTCAGAAGATATCAGAGAGTCCACACAGGAGAGAAACTACACCAATGCCAAGAGTATAGGAAATGTATTTCTCACAGTTCATCCCTTCTTCAACCCTAACGGGTCCACACTGGAGAGAAACCATGCAAATGCTATGAGTGTTGGAGATGAATCACTTACGATTCACATCTTGTGACTCATCACAGACTCATCACCTGCACAGGAGAGTAATCGCAGATGTTGGTCAAACTATTGAAGAGCAGGCCTCTTCAACTGTAAATGAACCCTATTCTCACTTCATGGGAAGAATAAGTCTGTCAGCTTCCTTTTAGTAGCCAGTGGCTACGTTTATCATGTCATGGAGACCCATTAAGCTGTGAAGTTTAATCCCTGCAGTTACTGGAGAGTCAGGTTTATTAATAGATGGAATCTTAGAAGAACTAATTATGGTGATTTTTCCCTACTTTTCTCTTACAGCTTGATGGAATAACTGTCCCTCTGCCCTTGTCAATATCTAGGAAAAATTGGGTTTATGAGGTGCAGAGGTAATGCCCTAAAACGTAAATTTGTTTTAAAAAGTGCCTCAGAGCTTGCTGAGAAAGTCAAAGTACAGATGGATATGTGCTTTGTAGATCGTTTAGATTAGAAAAGCAAAACAGCCAGATTTGTTTGGGAACATAGCTACTGATGAGAGAACGTGGCAGAAACATCCCATTCAGAACATGCCAATTTTCACAAGAAAGACTAAACAACAACTCAGTGATGTCATCTAAAAAGCAACAAGGGGGAAAAAATGAAGCGCATTTTAAAATGCTACTTATAGGTTGTGTTTTACCTACCATGTTAGTTAACAAAGAGATCCTGCAAAATATATGTGGATAATTGTGTTAGGCAAAGGAGAATCATAGTATATACAAAAGAAGCTTTTGCAGAATATTGTAAAAAGGAAAAGAGGATGAATTTAAACAGTATGTTTAATAATAAGCAAGTAGAGAAGAGAAAAAAAAGGTGTCAGTTGTTTTATAAAGCTTTACCCACATACCTGTAATAATCAAGTGTTTTGGAAAGGGGACGTGATGGCACTGTGAGCTAAACCGCAGAAGCCTCTGTGCTGCAGGGTCAGAAGACCAGCAGTCGTAAGATCGAATCCACGCGATGTAGTGAGCTCCCGTTGCTTGTCCCAGCTCCTCACCAACCTAGCAGTTCAAAAGCATGCAAATGTGCGTAGATAAATAGGTAACACCTCTACCACCTCGGTGGGAAGGGAAAACGGGGCTCCCTAGTCACGCTGGCCACATGGCAATGGAAACTGTCTTCGGACAAGAGCTGGCTCTACGGCTTGAAAACGGGATGAGTTGGATACGACTGGACTAAAAATGTCAAGGGGAACCATTACCTTTACAGTACCTATAACTATATGTAAACAGTGAGGTGGCTTTTTCTGGCAGGTATAGCTGTCGGGTGTAATAGCCAGTGGGTGGGAGTGCATATCGCTGTGCCCATGATGTACTGTACCAGCAATGTGCTGGCCTTGCCGATAAGGCAGGTTATTCTGACTTTGGCTAGACTATAAATACGGGATAAAATTACATCAAGTGTTATGAGAGACACATGCCTTGCTTTCACTGAGGAATGACATCTTCACTGAGAAGGAAGAGGGAGCATGAGATAGAGAATTGAACTGATGCCATGAGAATGCCCTTTTAAGCAGCAAAGATATAACAATGTGGTACCAGACTATGGACCTCATACAGGCATAGATTTCAACGGAAGCCTGACTTACAATTATCGGGCGAGAACATTCTGCATTGATTTTGTGTGTGTTAACAACATGCTTAGAGGCTTAGAAATGTTTTCCGTTTTATATTTTCTTATTACAAGAAATGTCCTTTCATGTACTTTCAAGAAAGCTTTTGGAATTATACTGCTTTTCACATTTAAATGAATTATTACAGAGAGAGATTCTCTTTCATATGTTTTTAACTGTGTCTTTTAAATAAGCTTTCTTTTTGATTCAAGTAAGATTAAAGTTCTTCTCTGGGCTTTGTATAGCTAAAACAGCTGACACTCAAGATGTAGTATCTGAATTAAACATTTGCCTAAAGTTTAAGTTCAATTTTTATATATTTGTCAGCAAATGTGTCTACAGTTTTGCACAACTGTTTGACGTTTGAATTTAAGTATCTGTGCCTACAGTTTTCTCCATGGCTGTAAGATGTCTGGATGTTACAACAACCCTGAAGTACTTTCGTATTATGGAACCTGGAAATAATGTAAATAAATTAAACTTGTAGGAATAGACCAGGCTTTGAATTGCCCGGAATTATTGCAGTGATGAAGACACCTATAAGAAGATACCCAGATGAGTTTGAAAATGCTTGTCACTGATTGTCCGATTTCATTCTGGGGTTAACCTTTTGCTGGGATAATGCCAGCTATGACGAATTATAGACTTCCGATCTTTACCCTGGGGGGTCTATAAATTTCTGTAGGACTCTTAGGGGAGTCAGGCATCCTTATCAGGACCTGTCATTGAGCTATGACAAGCCCTTTCGATTTTAACTGTATACTTCATGGGGCAGAGACTGGTTCTGTGGAGTTAGCCTTACAACCAGGATTGCAAGTACATTGAACCTGTTAGGATTTGTGAATTGAAATCAGAGGAGATAACCTGCACACTTCAGTTGGTGGAACAGGTGGCGCTTTGGTTGCTAACTGGCACACAGTATTATGATCATAGGAACCAAAGTCTGAAAGACCTGGATTACGTAGCTGCTAGTTACATTCCGGGACTAATTCAAAGGGTTGGCTTTAACTTGGAAGCCCTCCACGGATTATGACCTGCCTGCCTGAGACACTGCCTGTCTTTTTATGAGCCTGTTAAGATTTTCAGGAGAGGTCCTATTAAAATGAACAACTGGAGATGGGCATGAACCGGTTCGTCCCAGTTCATCAAGGCGACAGCTCAGGTGCTGCTGCTTTCCTTGACTCCTCTGGCTAAATCAGCCACCCACCAGGCCCAGTATGGTAGCTTCTGGCACCTCCTCAGCTGATCTCCCAGTTCCGGCAAGAGCTCAGGCGTCTCTGCCCCGCCCCCCTCTTGGCTAATCTGCCACTCAGAGAAAAGGGTGGGGAAGAGAAGTCTGTGCTCTTGCTTGTGACTGGGAGATCAGCTGAGGAAGGTGGGAAAAGCAAGCCAGCTTGGGCCTGGCTGATTGGCTGAATTTGACCGAGGAGGTGGGGAAGAGGAGCAGTAGCAGCTGCCTTGATGAACTGTTTTAGAACAATCACGGAAGATCTCGGGCCTCATCCTGTGTGGCTCCTAGGTTACGGAGGGCGCTACCATTTCAGTTGCCCTCTGTTTCCACTCTGATTTTAAGAAGGAAGTAAAAGCACATTTTTTTTTACTGTTTCACTTGTTGTATTTTGTGGTGTGTTTTTTTACTCCGCGTATCCACATCCTTTGATATTATAATAGTTTTAATTCACTTAATTTGAATGGTCTGATGGTCGGGAAAGTTTATACAGTTTTATTAATTTGTAGTTAAATATCTTTTTTTATTATTCTTTTAAAATTTTGTAAGCCATCCTGATGGCCATATTTTAGTGGAAAGTTTGTGTACCCTTTTTGAAATTAAATGAAAACATACACAGATATCGGTGTTGTTCTGGTCTTTCGCGTCATTTCCAATTTTTGATTACCTTATTTCATCTGGGTTGTTTTCTGTTTTGCCTGTAATTCTTTAGACAATGTTTTCTTGTTCAGAGATCACCTAACCCTAAACTAGTATCGCAGTATTATAAAATGATTAGTGATGTAGTGCTAATCTCATATATGTTTTTAAAAATTCAGAAGACGAGGGGAAAGAAGGTGGGGGTTGGTGTTTCTGCAGTCCTAAACATCATGCCCCAATTGCCTACATCACTGAAACGTCACTCACAGCCACAACTCCCAGTGCGACGGTGGAATCAGTCACCTCAGGAGTTGGTGAGTGCTCCAACACTGGAGGCATTCAAGATAAACTTAATCATCTGGCAGATAGACTATGGTTGTATTCCTGAGTTGAGCAAGGGGTTGGACTTGATGGCCTTGTAGACCCCTTCCAACTTTTCTATGATTCTTTACAAGAATTGATCAACTGATCAGACAGTAAGAAGTGTGTCTTAGTCGTTGCAGCTTTAAAAAAAAGTAGAAGACCCCCAGCAGCAGAGGAAAAAAAGAGCTAAAACAGCCAGACTGATTTGAATCAATCTTTGTGTCTTGTGATCAGTAAAATTTTATCGATATTCATCAATTTTATAGGTAAATCCTGCGGTATTTGACTTTATAGTCACAGCTTCAATTGTCCACTCCTGATACAGAACTTTGCTTTGGGAAGTTGTTCAAACAAACAAATAAAGAGTGTTTCTTGTGTTCATGCTGCCCTGTGCAAAGATGTGCTTGTCCCCTTAAGGGAAGAGGGAAGAGTTTCGGAGAAAGTGAAAAGGTGCTTTGCGTGTGTACAGACACACACTCCATCCTTCCTTTTGGCATCAGCTCAAGCAATTAAATATTTGAACCAATCTGAAAGGATTCATATTTTTTAAAAGTAGAGGGCTCCCTGGCATAGAAGAAACACTGCAGATGGGGTGAAGAATTGCACTGATTCACATTTCCTGTTCTATAGTGTGATCACTGGGGAAAATACAGCTCACCTCACACCAAGCCTGTAGTATTTTTTTTTTTTTTTGCTAACGCAGTTGCCCTTTTACAGTTTATGAAAAATTAAATGTGTTTAAGCGGTGAGGAGAGAAAGAAGTGAAGTAAATGAGATTTCATCTTTGTAGCAAAAACTGAATCGCTTACGCTACTGAACATTCTTATCCAATCAATTAAAAAAACCTTGGTTTATAAATCCTGCTTACTCTTTTTCCAAGTTCGCCTGTCGCTAGATATAGAGTCTTGACTAGCGCGTCCGTCCTGCCTGCTGAGGTAAGGTCTCAGGAGTGTCAACGTGAGTCCCTTGGCATTGCTGCAACCGAATAATCTTAGGAGGTGGCTGGGGCAGAGACCCACCTTCTTGAGGAAATTCTTGCAGCTGCTGGTTGCTGCTTCTCTAGTTTGGTAAAATGGTGATCCCAAGATAAGGAAACACATTAATTTACATATTAATCACCAACGGAGAACAGAGAAACAGTGGAGGCTCCGAGGGCGATGCCTCTCCTTAGCAGATCCTGGCTTTGCTTCCCTGCCCCGGGAAGGAGGGAAGAGGAACTCTTGTCCGCTCATCCATGTGCTCGGGGAGTAGATTGGCTGGGTCTGGGTGTTTCTTGCCAGGTCTTCGGCTTGGCTTCAGTCACATGACAGGAAGTTCAACCCGAGATGGCCAGCGAGACCAAAAAAAATAAGATAAAAAAAGAAGATAAATACAGTACTGAAAAGTACTGTAGCATTAAATGGCATCCCCCCCATCCACAAGTCTTAAATAGAGAAGGCGGCTCCCCGAGAACGTTGAGGTCATTTCCTTTCCTCCTCGTCTTTTGAAGGGTTAAATGCATAGAGTTGGGGTTCCTAGAGGGGAAGAAAGCCGCATGGGTGGGAAGTGGCGCGTCCTCCAAGCCAAGCGTCTCCATTCATAAAAAGTCTCGTTTCCTTT